AAATAATAATGAATTTTAATACACAAAGTTAATTTATTGATTACACTAAAAATATGAATTATTAGAAAAATGTAAATAGTCCTAATGCAAAATGAAGAAGAAATGAACATGAGTAAGAATTGGTTTCATTAATAACAGCTTTATAATAACTGTTATTAATAAATAAACAATTAATAATTTATTTAAACAATAAGTTGTATATAGAACGAAAGCGTTAATTTTATACTTAATGACAACTTTATAATTTATAAATCTTAGATAATTAATCTAATAATTGCGTTATAAGATTATAGAAAAAACCGTTAAAAATCTGTTCTAGCTATAATAAAGAATTTAAAATGTTTCAAACAAGAATTTGCAACGGTAGTCGATTAAATTAATCAAACCGTTCGCGATTCTGCTTCTCGCGCGTTAGTTCAAACAGTTAAGAGAGAGAGGGGGCACGCGATCTTTTGAATAGGCAGTTTCGCCTCAGCTGTTCACGAGAGTTTACCGCCGATTTGTGTTTTGCACTTTGTTTCGCAAAAGTAAAGTTTTCTTTGGGTCAATTACGTGCGTGAGTGCAACGGCATTTTCGTGACAGATAATAGCAGCAGTACAGAAGCAGCAACAAAGTTATATTAAGGCAGATCGAGGCAGGGCAGCTGATAATCGAGGGGCAGCGGCAGTTTAGATTTTTGCAACAAAAATTACGGCTGATCACCGTAATTGCACCACATGGTAGGTGCACCTTCCGTCATATTAAGCGATACAAAATACATTCGGTATTTTGTATATTCGTGATAGCGTTATTTTTTGTATTCGCGTCGAGCGTTAGTTCGCGGTAGAATTCGAATCTACTCTCTCTCTCTCTCTTTCTCACTGAAAATAGTTAATTGTAAAATCCTATTCGCGAGCGTTAGTCTTTCGGCCCTACAAAGACTGTAGTGATTTTTATTAATTAAAGTCTGTTAAATTTATTCGCCGGTTTCGTCATTTAATTTTCCTAGTAGCTTAAGTAATTGAAAAAGGCTTAGGTCTTAATCCAATTACATCTAGGGGATTAAGAAGATTAGGAGTAAAGTCGCTCACACTTAAAAGTCATCAAGTGTAACAAGACACATGACTTAAGGTGAGTTCAACTCCATTTGATAGAAGACAACTAGGATAAATCATCTGACATTAAGGCGAATACACGTATTATCATACGTGTTTAACGGAGCGGTGGTTTGCTCTGCATCGTGGGAGTTTGTTCTTAAATAAATTTCCCATTTTCAGATTTATCTCCCCCGTTACAAATTATAATTTACTAAATTTACTATATGATCTATATGAATTTACAGAGTTCAGACAAGAATAAACTAATTACAATTGGACAATTTATGACATCTTTACATTTTTCTTAATTCTTCAAAATATAGTATAAGAATATAAATTATATTTGTTACAATACCTCTTTCTTTGGACTTTTACTCTTACTACCAGGCTACATATCGAATTGTACTTGAAAATATATAATCAGTACTTCCCGAGGCTAACATCAATTTAATTTGCTGATGATCAAACAATAGCTATATATTGTACAATTGAGAATTTTCTTATTTTCCCTCTTTATAATAAAACTAATTTGAAACGCGGAATTCAGACACGGTATAATGATATAACTGTCACAAATGTACAACACACCTAAATGCGTTACGAATAGGAGAAAAAGAAGTTTGGGATGGGTGACCGAATGCTCATCGCTGACCGGAGGAACAAGACCAACGAGGAAAGGTATGAATTTTTCTAATGCCTTCTTTGTTTACCTACTTATATTGATGCTTGAAATATCATTAAGTAATATATTCAATATATATATTTAAAAAAAATCTATTGTAATATTAAAGAACAATTTTTGTAACTCATACAAAATACTCATTATTGGTCGCAATACGGCCGGCTTCACGAATGGAATGTCAAATTCCACATTGGTTTGCCCAATATTCGATTTACATGTATCACTACTATTAATAAAGTTTGTCTTGTGTCGGAACGTCATAAAGAATGTCATCGCATTATGTTAAATAGAATCTTTCAAATTAGGTTTATAGAAAACTGTTTATTAACAAAATAAATAAAGTATAAAACTTACAAATGGAATGTAGCATCGTATATTAACGTATTGTATATCAGTTAAAAAAATTGTTCTTCAATAATACAATAGGTACTTTTTAAAATATGTATATTGGATATATTACTTAATTATCTTTCAAGCATCAATATACCAATTCTAAATTAATAAACGCATTAATAAAGTTTCACGATAATGTAATTACGATAATGATGCATAAATATAACTGCCTTTCTAAAGACTTTTCTTAACTGAAAATATCGATGAGTATCGTACGGTACTATCAATCAAAAAAATGATGTAATTATCTAGAATGGAATCTGAAAAAGTGCATTTCAAGTTGCACTAATGATTTTGAAGAGATACGTTAAGATTTTTAGCAAACCAAACCAAACGAAAGCAGCGCCGGTAGACTTCCCCTACCAATACTTCGCAACGAAAAACACGAATAATCTAACGTTGTCACGAAGATTTATGCAGTTTTTAGAAAATGTGCTGTCAAAGCATAAATAAGATATCTCAGAATATAAGACATTTTAATACTACTTCAGGTATTTTATTTTTTTGATAAGTAAATTCCAGCTCATGTAACTGTTGAACCATAGGTCGTCAACTTTAACAACCTGTAATTTGTTCGATTATGAACAAAATTAGATGATTTTTTTGTAAATTAATGTGGTTGCGATAAGCTGATAATTTTCATTTGATGACTAAGCCAATTTTGTAAAAAAAGCATTTGATATTATTCTATAATAAGTATTTTTTAAACGATTATCCCTATGATAATTTATTTGAAAGTTTACGAATAGATAGTTATTCAACTTATGGCTACCGGCTTCGAAGCTTATAAGTTTATTTAATAAAGAAATTCATTGAATGACGTGGAAATTCGATATCATTAACAACTATATTTTGATACTGAATCAATAAATAAATACAATTTTTAGGCATTGAAAAAACAATATTGTCCACGTTTCCTCATCAATCCAACTTAAAAATAATGTGATACAGTAGTTTTAATATAATTAAGTTACATTTATTAGTATCGATTTATTCATAAAAGTGACCTGTGACATTATACATTTATTATACAGGAAAATAAAAATATATAGGATCAGATACGCTTGGCGCGTTCTTACCTTTTTTCCATTTCTTATTGTTATACGAGTATTTTTACCATTTTTGACATAAATTACTTTATTCAAAAGAAGGTTTTTCTAATTTTTTTATAAAACACATATCACAGCGGAAAAATGTATATTATTGTTACGTCCGGAGTTTACAAATATTTAATTCAATTTACTTGAAAAATCAGTCTAGAGTAAGCGAAATTATAGAAAGAAAAAGAAATAAAAGGAGAACCTGTCGTAGCGGGTACTCTTCGTTACCTTTTGGATTATTGTTTTCTTTGTGATTTGTCAATCTGCAGCCCGTCGTTTGCCAACCAAACGGCATTCGCTCGAACTCCCGTAAACCGAGACCAGGGACCGCGAACGCCGTATATTGTTTGCTATTTTCCGATAGCAAAATTTGCCAAAACGCCGCTCGCCGATCTATCTTCGACAGGTAGACTGCTCCGCGCAACCTGTCCAAGATAGCATCCATGCTAGGCAACGGATACGCATCTACTTTCGTGACTTTATTTACAGGTCTAAAATCGAGGCAAAATCTATAACAGAATTAACTGACTTCATCGGCAACCGCGTATAGATAAATGCCTGAGTAACACACAAACGGGAGCAGAATCCGCAAGGTAAGCTGGCTAGCTGCGCATAATACGCTTGCATGTAGAAGTTAAATTGCCGGTTGATCATACGTGAGCTCTCAAAGCGAGTAGTGATAATTGCGCGCGTATCGCGAATCCATTGTAGGCGAGCGATCGTTGCGTGCGCGAGTCAGCGAACAAGATAGCGACGCTTGTAGCTGCCACGCGCTCAAAATAATTTCCGTCGCACAAGCTTTATTTTGTAACCAAACATCGGATCAATAAATGATGTCAACGCGATAAATAGAAAATAACTTAATCATTGAGTGACCCGTAAAAAGCGCCCATTCCCGCATTTCGTACATTCACTATCGTCGTACACCTTCGTGATTACGCACCCATTTTTCTTAGTTAGTGGAATTCAATCATACCTCCGACCGAGGCTGAAGCTGCCTAATAAAGACAACTGCAGAAATCAACGGGGACTTCACCCGAAAGTAAGGGCTAACGTCTAGGATAAGGTCGCAGTGCGAGATCCGATGCAGAGGACGCCTATGTGATTGCCCGTGGAGGGTAATCCTTGGTAAAGATACCGAGCACAGCGAAAATGAACGCCATTGCGTGACGTCACAGCTACTCTAATGCAGCTCGCGCTTATTTTCGCGCATGCAAAAAGCTTCGCCCATAAACCCGTACACAGCGTAGCCCACCAACCATCATACCCAGTCACAACACTTATAATGTTCTTGTATATGAAAAAATGATAATATAAGCATATATCAAAATTAATAATTTAAAAATACAAAACTAATAGTATTGAAAATGGTTAAATACTGCAATACAAAAATAGTTAAGCATTGAGACATAATATTAAATATACATAAAATATAAAGTATTCGTGCGTGGACACTTCTTACTTGGTTTTACAACTTGTTTATAGAGTGTGTGTGTGTGTGTGTGTGTGCGCGCGCGTGTGTGTGTGTGTGGGATTGTGTATATGTACATGTATATATATTTGATAATGAAGCATAATTTTTCGCACTAAGTCGGCTCATTAAGCCGGCTATATTAGGCTGGCACAGTGCAAAAAATCACGCACGTGTAACAAATGACTATTATCATCTATAAATAATAGTGAAATACTTCTATCTAATATAAATTTCTACTCAATTACTAAAGCCGTTGAGCGTATTAAATACTTACTCAGTTACTTCAAGTTGATCAGCAACATCGACGGTACCAAGTCGACGATAAACTTCGTGCAGTAGTTTATAACCTTGACCACCGCTACCGCGGCCATCAATTTGTGCTACAATAACATTTTTTCTACTAGCTAAATAAGAATTCCAATCAATTTTGAATATATCGTTGACTAATTGTGAACCAGGAGCTCCATAGCTGTATTTTATTATGGTGAGTTATTATATTATACTATTCATAGATTACATCTATTTTAAATATATGTACGTACGCTTGAACTACCAACGGATATTGAGTTATTTCATCTTCTCGAAGTCCTGGAGGTAAATACAATCTTACTTGAGCATTATATCCGCCACTTATTTGTACTGGAAATGTTTTTATTTGTGGCAACGCTAAGTTATCTAATTTTTCCTGAAATTTAAATTCTTTGTTCAAATCACTTCCTTGAACGAGAATAATTTAACTATTTTATAATCACCTTTAAAATAATATTTTTTTGAAAATCTGCCATAAAACGTGGCATTGACAATTCCGTCTTGTATAGAGAAACTGTCGGAATACCAGGTCCCAAGCATTGAAGTATGAAGTATTCAAGATTTGGTGAAAATATTGCACTGTAATACTGACATATATCTGGAATTTCTGCAATAACAAATTATTATTATTATTATTATTATAATGGTTTCAATCATCTCAACAATTTCAATTATCTCATTCAATATTGCCAATTTAAGCGTAATCGTTGTCATGCATGTGACTTTAAAATAATGTTACAAATTATGTTAGTAGACAATGTCAAGGTCATGATTTAGTTTCTAGTTAAAAATATCTAAAGATATTGATAATTTTTTTATCATCAATCATGCCAGAATTATACAGAGTTTTCTGCCAACATTCTTTTTATATTCATTTGACTTAGTAGAGATCATTTCGAATTTATATTTTATTTTTAAACGTATAGATGTCTGCTCTTTCGAATGTGATGTCAAAAATAGTGGTTCGCATTTAAAAAAAATAATTTGTTCTTTAACTGACCTTAAAGGTGAGGTTTAAGGTCTACAAAACTAAGGTCATCATTAAATTGGGCGGTGATAATTAGTCCTAATCTGCATAATTTTTTATGAATGATAACAATCAACCCAAGTACAGAACAAACGAGCCTGCGCTATCGTTAATAGAAAGTATTTTGACAAAGCTTTTTTTGGTTCATGTTTGACGAAAAAATCTACTTTGAAATACTCATACGTATTACATGCACCTGTAATATGATATTTGTTTGTAACGAATTTGCATTCTGATATAAAAGAATTATTGACAAACAGAATGAAAATATAAAAAAAAATACCGAAAAGATTGAATAGTTACAATGAAATATAGCCAATATTTATGTCAGATTAAATTTATTAGATGTAACATATGTATGGATACGAAGATAACTGTATTGTTTTTACCGTGCAGACATATCGCTAAAATGTGGATCAATACTTTATGCTTGTACAGTATGACGTCAAGTTATTACCAGGTATGTTCATGCTTAGTTTGCATAAATGTTTCAATAAAGTAAATATTATTTTCAAATATGTCTGTGTATACTCTTGAATATTTTAAACTTAATCTTAAATTTTATTCAATACAAAGTTTATGTTACCACAGATCTGCAAAATAATAGATTCTGATTGTTATTGGCCAAAAGGTCATTTCTGGAGTAATTTTTTATGTAAAATTTTAATCCTGAGATAGAATTTGTCCATTACGTCAGGTTTTTTAGATATCCAAACCTAAAGCAGCAAAAAAGGTAGTTTTTTGGTATATTTGAGATTCCGTAACATCGTGGAAAATTTTTTTCTGAAAACAGCGAAAACTATCTGAAAGATCTGCTTTTACCCTTCGAAAGTCATATTTAAGATTTGAAATATCTTTGTTTTTTCATTGAGATATCGTTGATTTGAATCACATATCTTAACAGTTTCGAAATAGGCAATTAGGGTATACGAGTTTGGGGTTGTAGCGTCGCAGGTTATAACTCTTGACAGTTGAGGAACTTAGGGCATAAGAGTCTGATGTTATAGTCTTGCATATGCCGTATGTGCGTATAAGGGAAATTATCTGTTTTTAAACTACTAAAATACTTGATTTTAATCAATGATATCTTACTGGAAAAAAGGTATCTCAAATAATAAAAATGGATTTTAAAAAGTAAAATTAGACCGTTTAGGTGGGTCCCTCCGTTTTCAGAAAAAAAAATTTTCCGCGATGTAACGGACCTTAAATATACCAAAAATTGCCATTTTTGGCCCTTTAGGTAAGGATATATAAGAAACCTGACGAGGTGAACAAATTCTATGCGAAAAATGACCATCAGTTTGCCAACAACAAAATCATAGAGATTTGTGTAATTTGCTCTCGTCATTATTGCTTACTCCTTCATTAAATATCTTTCTCAATCTTTATTTCTTTATTTTTATCAAATTTATCCCTGTGTCTGATGCATGAAATGATATTTTTTAGTTTACTGACAAAATCTCTTGAACTCATTTAAAAATTTAAAAATGTGTTGTAACAGGCTGCCGTTTAGTCTGTAATCTTGTAAACGTACCTTTATTTACGACTAGACGACGCCTTGTTATCTCCGTGCTCAAAGCACAGCAACCTACCTTGTCTCGGAGTGCGCCTGCGCAGAGTCTCCTTACTGTTCCGAGCTGGGTTCCCCCAACTCGCCGCTTGGCGGCGCTGCCGCCCTTACTAGTAGCGCTCGTGCGGCCGCCGCTGGAACCTAGGTTGACGATTCCCGCCTATCGATATTTTCTTGATTCGTGCTACGCTACCGGCGAATTCGAATCAAACGTAAACAAATACTGACGCGACCTCCGGACAAAGGAAAGACTAAATAACGACTATTTGATTTGAAGGTGACGATTAATATGCACTTTATTAATGCAACTTAGATACACGAGGGTTTGGCCGAGAGACTTACGCACGCTTGTGCGAATGACAACACACGCAGATTGAGAGAAAGAGAAAACCGCGACTACCGCGAACTAACCGCTCGCGCGCAACAATTAATTACCTCGCGCACGCTGCGCGGGATCGCACGCCAATTACAACGGTAAAAAGGGGGAAGGTGCACCTACCGCGAGAACGATGAGGATACGGTGGCCAACCGTACCCGAACAACAAATCGCTGGAACGCCGCTTCGCTGCTCGCTGCACCGCCGCGAATACTGTTGCTGCTGTTGTTGTTGCTGCTGCTGTTGTTGCTGCTGTCACTGCTACTGCTGTTGTTGCTGTTGCTACTGCTGCTATTGCTGCTGCTACCGCACCCAGCACTTCGCACCAAAGTTCGCACCTCTAAGTTCGCACCACCACACGAAAACGTAAAAGGGCTCGGAAAACAGGTTAGCTGCACGATACAGGCGGACTGAGTGGCACAGTCATACTGCCGGTCGGAGCCTCCCCTCCCGGTCATTGCCCCTACGCGCTCTCTCTCTCTCTCTCTCGCGAACCGAACGCGGCTCCTCTCGTTAGCCGCTCATTAACCTCGCGCGAGTCTGACGATTTTCGGTAATCGTTGCAGTGTGTATGTTTGCGCGCGTGTGTGTATGTGTATGTATATTATTGAATTGAGTTATATGTTGTCTTTCATTTTAGTCAAGATATATAGTTTTTTTCTATAAATGAGTAGAAATAAAGAAAAAATATGTCACAGGGCCCTGGCCAAAATGGCTAGTTCTCTCTTTCTCGCGACTCACTCCTTTGTTGTGGCTCTGGCGAGCGTAGTGGAAATTAAGAACCATTACTGATGCTCGCAACGCTTTATTTCAGGGCCAATACCTGTGTCGGGTATCGTCATTGAGAGTCAATTGGAAGCGAGAGCGGCTGCGGCGATGAAGAGAGAGAGGAATAGATGCGTCGTGTGTGACGAGTGAGCGAACGCGAGTGACCCGCGGCGATCCGCTTGCGAGAGCGAAGCCGTCGGCGTTGCTCGAGCGGGCGGGCACGCGCGGTTGGGGAGAGAGATCAAGCCGAGATCTTGAGAAGAAAAGATTGACCGTGACGACCGAGAGCATGCGCGCCATAACAATACGAATCGTCGATCAAGGAGCGACAAAGAATCGAGACGACGCTGAGCAGATTGCTGCCAGGAGAGATGTTCCATTGACGCCCAAGTCATTAGGGATTTCATCTCAGCCTGACATTAACCTGCCTGCAGTTCCAGCAACAGTTCCAGCCAACAGCATTCGTCAGGTCAGGTCGTTTCTCTCTCTCTTTCTTTTTATTCGCGAGTGCGCGACGCCTCGGCGAGGTGTTCGCAATCATCCGCGAGCATGGCGAGAACGGCGAGAACGGCGAGATCCTCCTTTAAATTCCTCTCAACCTATTGTACCGTGACCCGTGCGTTTTTCTGCACGAGCGAAGGCACGCAGCCGCAGAGAACGATGCGTAGATCCGCGTCGTCTCTCTTTATAATTGTGAATCTTAATGAGCAATAAAATTGATTAAAGGTTATTGAGAGTAATTATTGTATGCGCCCGTCATTCCCTTCCTCGGAAGTTAGCACCCATCACGCCAACTTCGTAACAAGGCCCATCGTCGCCGTTGCAGTGAAGCGAAAGAGCCTCGCGCACCTTCCCCTTCAAAATAATTAGTGACACGGCACTTTGGCACGGGCCCATTGTATGGTTCGTGGGAATTATCAATAAGATAATTTTCCATACGCGTAAGTTCAGAGTAACAAGTATTTAGTATATTAGTTAATATTATTTTTTTTCCATTGTAAATTTTAATAGAATATTACACGTCATTGCTATTTATGCAAGCAAATATCTATTAGATGATAGCAAACGCGTTTTTAAAGGTATATGGCTATTGAATGATTACTTATTATTATTGCTACACATAGAGAAATCATCGCTTGAAAATGTCTTGAGTGATGGATAATCCGAGCCTTCAACGATAGTTGTTCTATAAAAAAAACTGTACTGTTTTGTACTCCTGGCACTTTTTACATTCGGCAATAAAGGTACTAACGTCGAACCTATCGTAAGTCTTTTCCCGGCCTAAATGTCCAGAGGAGGGCTCGCAATGAGCGTCGCGCAACACGCGTTCTCTATGCTCGACCGGCACTACCATGCGCCAACACTCTTCTCTGTTAGTGATCGGATCGAGCAAGTGATTCTGCATGAATTTATAGAGCGTGCTACCTTCTACTCTCCAAGTTCTATACTTTTTCGGCCTAGATAACACGTCCTGTATCCGTTGCAAATACCACTTATCGCTCGTGTCCTCAAACGCGCATACCTCATATTCGCCTTCGAATTCTCTAGATAGCGCGTCTGGCACATGGTGTAATGCCCCTTTCCTATGTACTATCTCGCAGTCGTGCTGCTGAAACTCAAGTACCCATCTCTCTAACCGACCTGTAAGTTCTCTCTTATTCAAAATTTTCGTAAGCGCGCTATGATCAGTAACTACTATAAAGTGTGACCCCTCTATGTGCGGTCTAAATTTCTTTACCGCAAATAGAACGGCTAAAAACTCTATCTCACTAACCGTGTAGTTACGCTCATGAGTGTTAAGCATTTGGCTGGCGTAGCATATCGGATGCTCGCCATCGTCGAATATTTGAACTAGACACGCGCCTA